AACAATTCCATGAATTTACTGACAAGTTATTTATTATACATCAAGACGCTTTTCATGTAGACCCATGCGAGGATTTTGTTTCATGAAACTTGGTACAGATCTATTTTATAGGATGCTGATTCCAGTGGCGTATGTGGTTTTTTTGTAGTTCTAATAAAGTCTAAAGTTCTAAATGTGATCTAGTAGGCCTTGGTTTTTGAAAAAAAAAGTAGACGCCGCTTAGCTCCAAAATACGCCTATCCACCTCCACATTGAAAAAAATTCGTCAAAATCGGTCCATAAATAAAAAACGATGATGTATAGGTATCAAAATATTTGAAATATGTTCGAATTAAACAGAGTGAATGGCGTTGTGCTTTCTTCGGTGGAATTGGAAATGAAAATTAATAAAATGTGTTGATTTTTCAGTGCTAGTATTTGAAAAATTATGTATACCTCGGGTGATAAGCAAGCTTGCACTTGCTAAACAATAGCTCACTTCTCACCCTAGGTGTATAATATACTATATTGCATCATCAATTTGCTAATCAATTTCAATAATTTATTTGAACGCTTTTTTAAAAAAATTTGTATTTTATATAATATCAGGAAAATTTCAACGAAATCTTCATTTCTTTTAAATTTCTTACATGGCTAGGGTACCGTCCTATATTATTCAATATTTGTAGTTCGTCAATAAAAATTTTGTCATTTTCTGTGAATTTTGATTATTACAAACACTGATAAGCATGTAGTCTCTGTATGTAGATAAACCTATGATCGTTGTTTTGGTAGATATGCATTTTGTGTTTACTAGATTCAAGCATTGCAGTATTATACTTTAATCTTGTTTATTAAATATGAATATATATATTATTGTTGAAATGTTTTGTTTTAATCCCATATAGTTGAAAAGAACTTGCACTCAAGAATAGAATAAATATACATCAGCCAGGCTCGAATACAGCTTCATTTCATCGGTGGTAATCCGTTGCGTGGGGGTGACAGGAAGCAGAAAAAGGCCGCAGACGAAATTTGTTTTTGTTCAAGGTCAAATGCCTTTGAACTGATAGTTATGTTTGCTTGCGGGGTATCATAAAGGTGAGAAAATAATACTTCAAATTTAGTTTGTTTTATTCACTTGGAAATTAAAATTTCCCAAAGGCTACAAAAATCGAATCAACCCAAAAAAATTGTTGAGTGCAATAAGACAATTTGGTGAATACGTACGAATCATTGTTTATTCAATTTCTTCACCTGGAGGAGGATTTTTTTTTCAATTTAAACAACCTGTATCTCGAGAATAGAGGTTAGGTTGAAATGAACTTTTTTCATATTTTTGGACGACCTATCACATCCTGAAATCCTGCGCATATATTATGAAACACCCTGTATAGCAAGTACAGTAACATAGCATGAATGCATCGTTTTTTCTACACGTTTTGCTGTGATAGGTAACTACCTCAAAAAACACTATTTGAATCCTACATCTTTCAATTTCCTTGAACGTTGAAAAATAGTATTAGACGGCACACTCGTCTATCCAGTACCAGGGATGGTAGGGTCGGCCAGGCCGTACCAGAAAATTTTTGAAAAAAAGCAGAACTATTTAAAGAAACGGTTCTCAATATTCTTCGTTTATTATGCTACTGTTTTGCCACTATTATTTAAATTTAATGCACTGAAACCTTTGAATAAGCCACAAGCAAATAATAAGCTACACTACACTGTTTTACCACTAACCAATCCGATTTTTTAACGCCTCGACACGTGTTTCGCTAACTATGTGAGCATCTTCAGGAGAAGATTATTATTGATGATTTTAACACCGGAAAATTCTTGAAAAACATGAAATTAAAAGGTGTTTTAGTGATGATGCTTTTTGAGAATTTAAAAAAAATTAGTCCACTCGCCTATTGAGTCGGTTTCAAAAAAACACATTTTTTATTCCCCAATGACTAGATTACTTGCCAATCCTCATCAGTTGCAATAGTGAAGCTGACAATCGATTCTAGAATCTTCTTTTTATTCACTGTGTAATTTCTCCGCCCCATATTCATTCACGGTTCCAAATTTCATTATCCATATATGTTTTTCTGATTCCCCTTTATATCAGAATCTCATCAATAATTCAATGGTCACCTGACCTTATTTCTCTCGGTTTTAAGCAATGGTAAAGTCTGTATTGATAAAATGATATTGTTGGAGACATATACAATTTTTTATGAAAAAAATAACAAATGCAGAACAAAACAGTGCAATGTTTATAGTAGTTTGCCTAACAAGTGCGGAAAGAAACTTTCCGCATGAGTTAGGAACTAGTAATTTTCCTAACAAGTGCGGAAAGTGATTATTTCCCGCACGTGACTGCCGTTGACACGAACGACGCGAAGCGGAGTTCGGGCAAGCAGTCGAGTGCGGGAAAGAAACTTTCCGTATGAGTAAGGAACAATATTTTTTCTACAAGCGTATACGAAATTGATTGAATCGTTCAATTAATTATTCAAGCAAATAGGAACAACTAACAAGAGATATATATTCTATATTTATCAATTATTAGTAATAGCTATTGTGAACTTACAGTTTGACGCATTATGTTGGTTCATTGCGGAAGCCAGCAGGCCCATTAGGAGTTTGGTCTCTAGGTTCCAGACACTTCTATGGAATGAGCCAAAAATACCTATTCTTCATTCGGTTTTTTCATTTCTTTATTGTTGCACCATTCAATAAAACGCGTGTATAGCTTCTCATACCTTTCTTAAGACTTCGTTGGTGATAACGCATCTGTATCAAATCCCTATAGCTAGAAGTTTTTGATCACATTGTGGCATTTCCACTGAATCGAAAATGACAGTAACGCTGTGTCTGTCACTTCGACAATTTCAAACTTATTCGAGGTTTCATTGGCATGACAAATTGACGTTTCCCGTCAGATCAATCCAAATCTATAGGGGGATTTTTATAATAATCAATTTTTATTTCTCAATATTTCTTAATTTCTACAATAAATAGTGCAATTTGATGGATGATTCTGAACTTACATACTTAATACTGCAACAAACAAACTTAAACTTTTATATTCCATCACCAACCACTTATATTACTAGCGATTTTATCATATCTTTGTTTTCCCGCACTGTTGCGGGAAAATGACACTTCCCAAACTAAATTGCGTGCGGGTATAGGGTGAATCAAGCACGCTTATAGAAAAAAGAAGTTTCAGGTAGATTTGTGCACTGGTAAATTTCTGATACTTAAAATTAATAAAGGAAAAGGTAAACAAGTAATACATGAAATATTACAAAATGTATGTATTTATTTAAAAGTATATAGTACAAAGCATTTATGTATCTTAAATTATAATAAAAAATAACAGCACTTGCCGATAACTAGGTACCAGCATATGCCAAAACAAGACCTAACTATCGAACCATGATATTAATATTAGATATCTATCTAATCAGTACTTTTTACAAGGAAAAACCAGTTGAGTTTGATAGTAAAATAGAATAATTATTATAAATATCTTTATATTCAACTGATTTTATAATATACAAAATCTAAAACATGACTGTAAGAATAGCAATTATGAAGTTAGCATCTTCCTTTCCCAGATTGTATTCATTGAAAAAGTTACTAGCTTCTCAATTACCTTTCTACAAATTACAGAAAAAACTATGAACTGTATATAACAATATAAGTGAAAGACTCTTTTTCTTTATCTCATGAGGTGGAATGTGCGTTTTTTCATTTAAAAAATTTATCAAAAATATGTTTTTTTATTCTTAATATAACCAACTTCATATGATATTGTCATATTGTTGTTAAAATTACTCTGAATCACAGACTCGCAAAATTTAGATCTTCGGCACAAAAATCAAATAATAAAAAATAGAGAGACCAAACTATGCTATTTGTAAAATTACAAAAATGTCATGAATTTCGAATGATTGAAACCACAATCATAATCCATATGTTCGCATTTTCAACATTAAGGCTTCCAAGTTCATAATATGGAGATATTTAAAAATATCTAATAAATAATAAATTGTTATTGCAAACATATAAATTTGAAAAGTACCTACTAGTCGGATCAATAAAAAAAACTATAAACTATACTAACAATAATATACTAAGATATGTACAAATGCATTCACGTAGTCTAAGTAATATTACAACACAATTAAAATAACAAGGCTTGTCAAGGCACAAGAGTGAAATTCATCGAATACTAATAATTCAGATCATTCTTTGATTTAAAATTGGCAGCAAATTTTCATTCGATTAGGCACTTAATAAAAAGATGAGACCATAAGTTACAAGTTCCCTTCTGATGAAAATACAGTTATATTTAACCCTAATAAAATGATAAAAAAAAATATCACTCAATTTGAAGTATGTGATTTTTCGACAGTCATAAGCAGATCTAGGAGAAAATTCTCGGTTTAGCATTTTCAATGCGTTTTGAAGTGAAATATTGTAGCCAATCAATCAGAACAAAATATAGCTGATACAGAGTAGCATTGAAACAAATGCAAATATTCCAATGTCTAAGAGATGTCGACGTATACTATCAAATGGCAGAAATAAGAAAATATAGGGAACAAAATAAATTTTGGTGAGCCCTTTTCCACCCAAAGTTCAACACTGCAGCAATTCTGACATCACCTCTGTATAAATTTCTGTGTGGTAATTGCCTTGGAGTGGTACTTGCTTTTTTCCTATCCTTATTCAATTTTCAGGATGGAAATTCTCGTTGATAAGAAGAATTAGGAAAAATCTAACAATCATGGAAATATTCGTCTTGACTGTATTATATCATGTGATCTATTTACCCTATTTACCCCCTGTATCTTCATTGCTATTTTGTATGGATGTTACAAATTTGGTCCATCGATTTGATTACATGAGTGTATAATTTTCTACTATCTCAGACCAAATATAACACTTCCGGTTTGAGACATTTTTTTATTTCAAATACAAAGTATTCCGAGTATTTTTTCTTCTGGAAATCAGGATTCAGTATGAAATTACCTTTCCAACGATATATCACAATCATACTTTCAATACAAAATCTACTAATATAATTGGGATTTTATAAAAAAAATCTTTTTGTATTCCTCTCTTAACGGAATATTTTCATGAAAGTGCGCTAAGGATAATGAAACAATAGCATGTGACTGTGAGTAACAATTATTGAATGTCAAGATTTTTAGACAATTTTTTTTATGCACACTGAATATTTTTACAATTTTAGTTTTTGGCTATGATATTGAATGAATATGGTTTTAGAATTATCATCAAAACTGAAAAATCAGACGAAACAAAATATTCATTCTTATTATTTTTCTACCCGTTACGAGGGGCATTCAAAGAGTATTTTTTCTATAAAATCCCAATTATATGTACCAGTAGATCGTAAATTGATAATATGATAGTGATACATTCGTTGGAAAGGTAATTTCACACCGAATCGTAATTTTCACAAAGAAATTATACTTTGTATTTGAAATAAGAAAATTGAATGCACCTCCGGTCAAACTGGAAGCGCCATATTTAGTCTTATACTAGCGAAATCATACACTAATGAATTCAAATCGATGTACCATATACTTGAAACATAGATACAAAATAGCAAAGAAGATACAGGGGGGTAAATTTGTTCAGGGTCTCCAGTATTGATGCGTTGAATAGATGTACCCATTTCAAAAACACCTCGTATATGCGATGGATAATCAAGTATTCAACTAGACAACTGTTTCCATTTCCATTCTGACTACTTGATTATCCATCGCCTACAACTGTTTTATTTTATGCTGGTCGACTGGCTTCTAAATCTTATATACCGGTAATTTTATCCCAGATCTGTATATGAAATCTAATTTCATGTCCCTAAATCTCATTTCGATTTGCTTCGAAAAATCATACTTATTATGCTATTGTGAAATCCAAAAAACTAGATATCATAGAATGTGTTTGAAAATGTTCAAGGACATTTATGGTTGTTTTATGATGAATTATCGTTTGGATTCAATACATTAAATAATCGAATATTGAAATATTCGAAACTTTTTGCTCATCATACTTGTCATCAGTTGAAATTATACAATATTGATGTCATGAAGTTATGTTCAAAAATACTTTGTAGTCAAATTATTTTCACTGTCCGAGGTATATATTTAGACAATAAGTGAAAATACGTCCAAAATCAATTACTCAAATAATAACAATGTTCAATTTTTTTTGAAAAATTGGAAAATGCAATGATGACATGTTTATTGTGTGATTTATCACTGTCAACTCCATCTCTTTGGAATAGGTAATTGAAGATATTGATTTTTTGAAACCACTTTCAAGGGAACGAATAATATCAAAAACTGGAATGAACATTTCAAGATATTTGAAAAAATGGAGAAGAATATGAAGTCAAAAATTATGAAACACGATAGAAAAGGAAATTCATTTTTGTTCTAATTTTTTTCTTTAATCAAAGTTTTTGGTTATTTGAGGATTTAGTTTCATGAGATTTTTACATACATATTATACAAATATTATATGTTTCATTCCAAAAACGTGTCACTTTTGTAGTAGGTGTCTTTATTCAATATTTGAACTCAAAAGAATAGTTTTTTGATCACCATGAACTATGTGATTTCAAAATATATTCTGAATATTATTAGAAGTTGTGAGGGCAATATCGATTTGATATTTTCATCTACACTTTGAATGGGAGTAATTTGAAGTGTCATAGCAACACATATTGAAGAATGAAAAAATTTCAAAATCATCACTCCAACTTCCAGTCAAGACGAAGAATTGGGGACATGTCCCGAACTACCATTAACTCGCCTTCACCCTAGTTTCATAGATGAGGAATTCTCATAAAACATCAAAGAATTTACATTATGATGGATAACTAGCTACAAGTGCTCATTTTACTAAGACAGACAATTATTCGTCTGATCTCATTATGAAACGCATGTGAACATGTAGTTCCATCTTTGTTCAATGATAATAATCCCTAAATGAGCTAAACACCGAGTGAAAGTATATGTTTCATAAGAAGTATTTTAGAACGAGATAATTATAATCTGACCAACTGTACTTACTGGAACAAAGGAAAGAATTTATTGAATTGGTGAGAATAAGAACAGTACAAGTCCAAATGTTACATTTTTGGGAAAACAAGAAAAACTCTCTGTAAAGTTGTTCTGTTCTTACGCTCAACGCTTCACGATGAGCGCCGTCATACGCCTTGATATAGTGATATTAATACTGTTTCTCGACTCATGATGCAGCTTCATATTACAGACAAAATGGCTATTCCAGTTCGAAATGTCAAATTTTGGACTTGTACTGTTCTTATTTTCACCGATTCAATTGTAAACTTCATAGGAGAGCTTGTGCATAATTATCTGTAGAGAAAGGACAGTTGTACTCACCCTTTACAGACCATTGATCAATCGACCATAAGTTTTCCTGATGATTGAATAATTGATTTTCCACGTTAATGAATGTGAAGCATTTATCAGCTAGTTTTTTTTTGATAATTTAGAAAACTTACCATCAATATAATGTCGCTGAAGATGAACTCATGTTGTCTGATACATGCCCTAAGTCCTCGTTGAGATTTCAAAATATGGAGATGATTCCTCAACCATCCTACTCTAATGGTACGAACATCTACCATTATCAGGGTTAAATACCATCTGTATTTTTCATCAGAAGCGCCATGTCATTTTCAGCAAACACCTCTTTCGAGATATAACAAGATCACAACTTGCGTCGAAACACCTAAATATAAATAGCGTCGGAGCCTTTGTTAGTCTGGTGTCCCGTGGACACGTAAGTATTCGGGCTGGCCACGTTCTCCGACCAGTCCGAGTTGCACGACCGCGGCGAACTCGAAGACCAGTGGCCCGGACTCTCCGGGCTGGGCGTCGGAAAATTCTCCGGCAGCAGGTGGTCGGAGTGCTGAGAGGGAGGGGTGAGATAGAAGTTCTGGTGCTGGAACTGCTGGGGCTGCAGCGTGGCCGGAGTGGTGCTCGCCATTCCTGAATACGCCATGGGCAGCTCCAGGCCCGTCTGGCTGAAGTCGTAGCCCATCTGGAGATTCTGCGCCTGCGGCACTCCCCCGTGCTTCTGTTGGGTGGCCGCCCGCATGGCGGCGATGTGAGTAGGGCTGGTGGGGAGAGAGGGGCGGTTCTTAGCGGGGGAGGGGGAGCCCTGATACCCCTGAGGCGATAGCGACATGTTCGACTGAACGGAATGCGGAGGCGATTGATTCGAGTACGGAGGACTGAGCGTGTTGGCCTGCATCTGTCTCTGTTGCATGATGATCTGGTCTTGGAATATGTTGAAGGCACTGTAGTTGTTGTCCAAGGTGAAGCCGAGGTTGTTTTTCACGACGTCCTCGTAACTGGGAGGTTGTTTGTTGTTCATGAGGCTCTCCAAGCCTTGAGCCAAGTTCATGTTCGAGTACAACGATGTGGCGTCGTAGGGACTGGGCAAATTTGTCATGGGAGATTCGACTGGGCTGAGGGCTGACGTCACTGAATCGATGCTCTGCGGGATCTCGCCCTGTTGAGTATTCTTTTTGTTCGCGTTGTTGTTGTTATTATTCTTTTTGACGCTGGGCTTCCGACGTATACTTCCTGTGCTGGGCACACCTTCGCCCTCTGGACTGGTCGGCCCATTATTCTTGCTAGGCCTTTTCGACTTCTGCCTTTTAGGAACGATAACTGTGGGTTGTTGTAACATGTGACCAGTAGGTGATGCTGGAAAATTAAAAAAATATTAGATATTAAAATAAATTAACTCTGATGATAACAAAGATATATATTTTATAAATGCTGTTCTGATTTGTTTTCATCGATAAACATACAGAAATGCTATAATTGCTATACTTACTCATCATGTTGTTGTTGGGAATGACATTGACCATTTGTGGACTTCTAGGAACATGCTCATCTAGAAGTCTCACAATATCATGGTGCAGTCTCTCGCTTGCAACATCCCTGGGTAACCTGTCCATATGGTCTGTGATTTCTCTGTTGGCATAAGCTTCCAGCAAAGCTTTGCATGCTTGGTAGGAACCTTCGCGAGCGGCCAGGAACAAAGGAGTCTCATCCTGAAATGAACGAAAATGGTAAACAGTGTCCGCCGCAATCAGTGTCAGTGAGAAAATTGAATACTGCGTGTTATAAAAGATTCGAAATAAATAGTAGCGATAAGTCAGTAATGAATAAGTGTTCGTTTAATGACCAGTATATCAATCATGAACCAAAACTGCATGCTACAGTTGACTGACAGCTTACACTGACTGATAGTCACCTACTGTTTATCCACTGCATATCAATCTTTTTGCTGGGTAACTCTGAGTTTTGATAATGTTGAAAGCCCTGATTTTCAAAAGACCTGATTTGATTGATGGAAGAATCTTCTCAGTGGTGTTCTAATATTGATATCTACTTCACCGACATAGTTAGTAGTTGTGTCGGTGGTTTACTTGTTTCGGCGTTCATATAATTGTCTATATTGTCTAAAAGTCACGAAGTGGAATTAACCACAAACATATGAAAATCATAGCAAACTTTGAAGAAAGTGAATGCAGTAGTGAACAGTTTAAATAAAGGAATTTTGAAAGAACTAATGCAGTTGCTTGGTGACAAAAGGAAGCACCTTTGGAAGACAAAATACGACGGCTGTTTACTTCTGTCTCTTCAATGTAAAAGCAGCATCCAATTGATTCATTTTATATGATTCCTGTGACAACATACCAATTAAATATTATTTATATTATAAATATGAGTATTGAATTCAACCATTTCATCTTATAATCCTTCCTACCAATCTATTCCAATGTCTTCTTTTATTTGCTCCAGGATCATCAGCAGACTGGTATCGAATAAGTAATGAAAATTTCTCTAGAAAGCCTCATCATCAAAATCATGATTAGGATAATTTCTTCACCTCACAGTATAAGGCCTTTTCTCATGATCTTTGATCTCTAGCTATCTTCATCATTACTCCAAAAATCTAATTCTTCAAATTATAACAATTCATACCGATAAACGTTATGTCAGTGTCAGGAATTGGCTGTGAGTTGGACTCTAAACTTTTACATTCATCTCATAGAATTAGCATATACTTCAGCTGTCAGTTACAGTTAACTCGGAGAATGATAAACAGTTCGACCAGAGGTTGAGCTTTAGTTCATAGTTAGTTTGAAATAACTAGCAATTGATCAACTGACCCTTACTAGTAAACTCAACAAGGACGGATTAAGGTAACTGGGGCCCTAGGTGCAAGACAAATCTTGCACATCCAGTGGAGGATTTGTAGAATCAAGGTACATATATAATGGAGTGGGAACAATAATAACGACTAGGTAAGATACAATGGGCCACTAGACCATCGATCAGTTGAGCCTACATAAGCAGGGTGGAGTGTCTGGTGGGTATATCCTGGCTAGTCAGGGGACTCCCACACTGTTATATGGGGGATGATGTCCATTAAGGATTTCGACCACCTTGACACAAAAAAACCTCAAAACTCATATAGACCAGTGTTGAAGTCTTTGGAAACGGTAAAGAGTAAAAAAAAATTATAGTAGGATGAAACCCATTGAAAAAGCAAGAGAATTATAACAAAAATGAAAGGGAGAATAAATTACAGGCGACCTGAGGTCCGGAAGTTGTAGGAGGTGAGTTTTCAAGGGTAAAAACGGTTTATCTCGATTTTCGGGCAAACTACCAGCCATATGAAATTGACTGGCAAAGTTGTAGGAAATAAAAAGGTCTCTAACTTTTTTATCCACACTGTTTTCACCTAACCCCAAAATGTATGTGAGAAATTCGAATACACAAGTTTTAGGTTTCTCATTTTTATCTTCTAAAAGAGAAAAATATTCCACGAAATTCGGTGAAAACTTACTTCTTCATGTCCCAAATACACTGTAAGATTTTTTAATAGATTAATTCATTTTTCCACCACATTTTGACTTAATATCAAAAAAGCACCCAAATTTTCAATCGAAAATTCTTGAGTCAAAATATATGCTTTTTCAAAAAAGTCTTTTTGTTCCTGTAAAAGAATATACAGGGTGTTGCAAAATTTGACCGACAACTCTTTACAGGTGATAGCCCTCGTCATTTCATAACCACTGAGATAGGGACATACGGTCTTCAACTGTTCAGTTCTCGAGATACAGGGCGTTGAAGTTAAGAAATTAAAATAGTTTTTTCGCAATACCTCAAGAAAAATTGAATATAATGCATTCAAATTCAGTATATGGTTTCATCTTTCAGGTGCGCTACAGAGGGTTGTGATAACATTTCCTCCCATATTTTCTACGCCACTGATGAAATTTCGATATTATCTTCAATTTCTCGAATTGATTGTTCAATTATGTTGAAAAAATGCGTCACCTTCAACTGAGCTAAAATGAACAGTTATCAAGATATTTGACCCAAAACAGAAGTATCTTCCTCAGTAGTAGAAAATTACAAAGATATATGTTGTCTCATTATGTGTGGAATAACTATTTCTGTTCAGCAACAGAATAATATCTGAATAGTATCTAGTCTACTAAGCACCAGAAAAATATTTCTGCAATTTTCTATTACTGAAAATGATGAAATATTACTTTTATCTTTTATTTTGGGTCGAATATCACGAAAACTTTTTATGTCAGCTCATTTGAAGGTGATGAATTTTTTAAACAAAATTGAACAATGAATTCTTGGAATTGTAAATCATTGAAATTCAATCAGTGGTGTAGAAAATATGGAAGGAGAAGTTGCCACAAACCCCTGTAGGGCGGCACCACTGGATAAAATGTCCGGAATGGCTTTCTAATCAAAAAATGACTCATTCAAAGATGAAACCATATACCGGAGTTGAATGCATTATATTGAATTTTTCTTGAGATATTACAAAACAACTATTTTTATTCCTAAACTTCAATGCCCTGTATCTCAAGAACTGAACACTTGAAGACCATAACGAAACGAAAAAGTAGCTTTCACATTCTTTAGATGAAATCCCCTTCATTATTTTTAGATCAACTATTTGTGCATGTTTTTTGCAATATTTATGGATAATTAGTTTTCATAGTCATAAATAGCTCGAAATTGTACATACTGTTTGAAAAATATCGATTCGATGGAGTATCATTTCTTTGCATTTTCTGAGACCATTTACCCTAGTAATTGTTATATTTTTCACACCATCAGAAGGTAGAGATTCTGATGAACAAAAAGCCGACCGACTTTTTTGATATCAAGTCAAAATAAGGTGAAAAAAAAACAATATTATAAATAAGAAAAGTTTTGACCAAGTTTTGTGAGAAATTTTGTTTTTTGTAAAAGATAAAAATGAAAATCCAAAAACGTGGTTATTTGAATGTTTCACATAAATCTTGAGGTCATGTAAAAAAGTGTCTCCACAAGATAGAGATATAGATCTTTCCATTACCTACAACTTTGTTCTTCAACTTTTTTCTATATGACTTATAGTTTTGCCAGAAATCTAGATTAACCGTTTATCACTCTTGAAAGCTCTTTCAAGTTTGTTATACTCTCTGCTTTTTTCAATAGGTTTCATTCTACTATAATTTTTTCCAGTTTCAAAATTTATCGACCCTGATCCAACAACCAACCTTGTCATCTTGCGCATCCCTGTTCGCCCCGTGCGCCAGCAAAATATTCACCGCCTCCACGTTATTGACGGCGGCCGCCCAGTGCAGCGCCGTCTTGCCCGAGTTGTCGGCCGCGTTGATGTCCGCCTCGGCGCTGATCAGGTCCTGCACCATGCCCTCGATGGCCAAACGGGCGGCCAGGATCAGGGGCGTGGTGCCCTCGTGCATCCGCGCGTTCAGGTTGGTCGCCCTGTTCCTGAGCAGGATTTGGAAGACGCCGCGGGCGTCGGCGGCTACGGCGGCGTGCAGCGGCGTCCTGCCGGTGTTGTCCAGGGCGTTGGCGTCGGCGCCGGCGTCCAACAGACGTTTGGCGGCGTCCGCTCTGGCGTACCTGAAAACATTAATGACAAACTGGATTAGGAAATGAGGGCGATTAATGATCGAGATATTTTAACGTGCGAGCGAAGCGAGCGCGTTAATGTTGGAGATCATTAATCGCCTTTTAATATACAAGTTGATACCAAAATTTTTCCGTCGACTATACTTCTCATTTCTCCTACAATGGAGAAAACTTGGTTCGCGAATTCATCATTCATCCGGAAAATACTAAGAATCACCCAGTAGCCTTGTTACTGACATTAGTGACATTTGACATTTGTCGAAATGATCAACATAGAAAATAAATTCCTTGTGTTAGAAAACAGGGATTAAAATCGTGACAGAAACTTGGAAAGGCGAACCCGTTAACGGAAAATCTTCGATGAAATCCATATTTTCGATTTAAATGCAGATTCCGTAAGTTATAGCATAAACAATGAATGCAGGCGGTGTATGTTTGGTGGCCTATAAAACAATCGTGCATTAATAGACAAATTGATCATTAATAGGGGTCATTAATGAACGATTTCATGAACATCAAACTTACTCGTTAATACGAGGTCGACGGAAATAGTTATTCGACCAACTAGTGTATTAATGTATATTAACTGTTGATAAGGAATATTCTCGGATATATTTATGAACACGAAGAAATGGATATATACAAGGTGTTAGTGTATAAGTGCGACAAACTTCAAGGGGTGATTCCTTGTGATAGTTCAGAAAATAAAGTTTTTATAAACATGTGTCCTAATTTTCTTCGCTTTCGAGATACAGGGTATTAATATTTCCATGAAAAATCGTATTTTTAAATCATTACTCAAATGTCTTTTTACCAATTTCTATTAAACTTAGTGGTTTCATTGAATGTAACATGGAGCTTCTTTTGATGTGATTAAATTCAAAATAATATTTTCAGTGGCGTCACAATGGGTTAATTTATAGATATTCAAGGTTAATTTCATTGTACGCCACATATTTTTATTATATTGAACAATTGGAATATCCACTTCATCATCTTTTGTGTTTTTTATAGTCTTGCTTAGTATTTGAGGAAACAATAAAAATTCAATTTGACTCCAAATCTTAATGTAGGTGCTCTCGAAACATTCATTAAGATTCCTCAATAACCTCAATTACAATCATTTCGAAATTTTGAGACTTCCTCAGTCCCCAACCATACTGAATTTTGGCACCATGAAAGCCTATACAGGGGCGTTATAAATAAAAACAGGTAATACTTCCAACTTCAACATCCTGTATATCAAAAACTAAGCAAGTTAAGACACATGTTTATATGAACTTTATTTCCTAAAATCTCACAAGGAATCACCCCTTGAAGTTTGTCGCAGTTCTTCACAAACACCCTGTATATAAAGAAATACATTGAGAATTCGCATTCTCCATGTGATGAAAATATTAATTCTTTCTTGGTTTATTCAACAGAAAACAACTACTTTCCTGGCTATATGCCACAACGAACATTGAATTTATTATATGATCCCGAGACCGGCTAATCCAAGCCGATTGGGGACCAATGCATTTCATAAATGATTCATGATGTGTACTATTATCATTACCAATAGTATTATCTATGTTAGTATTATTATTATAAATTATAAATTATTATTATTATTTCTCAAATAAAAAACTGCTGAAATAAAAAAAAATTATATCTATTGAAAACACACGATATGTATATCATGAAAAATGTCTGAAAGAATAACTGAACTGTACATCCCACGTTCACTCAAGTTTGTAAAATATTCGAGTTGAAAAATTTTCGTAGTAATAACGTCAATGATAATGAAATAAAAAATAAAAAAAAAACCGTTGTGCATGAATCCGCCTTTAGGAGTCTGTTCAATGGAGTGTCGTTAGGAAACCGCATACTGAATCACCAACTTTCAAACGACAATTTCTTCAAGGAATGCTGGTGATGTGATATCAAATGGAATTTGCGAAGTTTGATGTTTGGTGACATAATTCCAATGTTGCCAAAAAGGCGCGAAAACGTTTGCTAATTTTTGATTTCAATTTGTCAGTTTTCCGTATTCATTCACAGTTACAGGGAATCAAAAGGTAGTGCCAAAACCACTAGGAGTCAATGAGAACTGACATTTTTCAGTCTTACTTGCCGGCGCTGCTGAAGGACAACACTTTTTTTTCAAACATTTGCAGAAACACTGAGGAACCATAATGGGCGTGTGGACTGATAATGAATTAATGGCATTCAATTACTTCACTGTGTCGTTACTCGTTAGGGAGCTAAACTGATTTTTGCAACTCTTCTCATCCTCTTTTTATGTAAATAGTGAGTCTATGAGTTCTTCAAAATTGTTGAATTTCAAACGTTACGTCATGGCCGCAATTTGGCGATACGTCGGATGAATGATGACGTCAGTTTTTATGCTGTTCTGTTATTGGTCAGATAATCTTCCATAACCACTCATGAAGCAAGGTCGTCAAGTCACCAATAATTATAATCAAGTTATCAAAAAAATATTAAAGTCTTGTCACTCCTGTCGTTGAATAGAACACAAGATAAAACACAATGGGAGCAATCAATGGTATTATAGTTCATTCTTGACTCTCTAGAGCAACCAACATATCCAAATATTTCTTGTACCCAAAAAAAAATCAGGTAAATGTTGACGACTTGGCAACAATGAGCTGAATGCTGAGAACTGACTAGGCACCTTCCACAATTCGTGCGCAATGTTGTCACGTTCACTTGTTCAAATGTCCTCTAGTGTGAATTATCACTATTATTAAGCAGTAAGCCACATACAAGAGAGAACATTTTGAGACATTTGATTTTGTATTGATGATTAGGAATATTACCAATACATAATTGAGAATTTATGAATCATTAAATAACCGATATATTTCTGAAGTTCCTGATCGTATTTCAACATAAGTCAACTGTGCTATGGTCGCCCCTACTAACGAAATCGTAACGCCAGTTTTTACTTGCGGTAAGTTTCTAGCCGTTTGAAAATTACCGTGGTATTATTGATGAATTTAGCTCCTTAAATTCGACAAAAAAATTCTTGAAAAAACATCAACATTAACATTAACATTTGAGTGATTATTCTATTTAAAAAATAAAAAAAAATTGTCCACTCGCCTATTGTACATACTATGTCAACAGAAGACTGAGAGTTTCAATAAATTCATCTCTTTACCTGGCTGCTAGATGCAGAGAAGTCTCCCCGGTTTTGTCCATCGTGGCGTTCAGTTCGGCACCTTGGGCCACCAAATCTTGTATGATAGCCCCATCATCATCATCCTCATCAATCCCGGTATCCATTCCCCCACCTCTGACCGCGGCCACCATGATGGGAGTCATCCCGCAGGGTCCTCTGGCGTTGATGTCCCCGTGATCGTTGCCTTGCGGGGGAGTCAGCATAGCAGGTGGGCGCATATCAGCAGCATCCAGATGTTGCTGGGTCCAGCGGGGCTCCGCCTCCTCGTATTCCGTGATGGCCGTGTGGTCGCTAGAGTATCCCAGATCGTTGCCTCTGAATCTCTTAGGTTGGGGCAAGTCGCTTTCGTCGTCGGACCACTGAGGCACGTGTCCGTGGTGGCCGTTAGGGTCGATGTCCATGCCGGGAATCGAGGGGTTTTTGCTGAGGTTGCGCAGTTCTTGACCTTCGGGGCCGCGCCTTCGAGACCTTCTTCTGGTTCCGGAGTTTGTTCGCAGGAATCCTTCGGGGAACCAAGTTATTCCGGCGGCGCGTTTTCGCTGCGTTTGGACGACGACGACTATGAAAGCGCTGACGCAGATGACGATCAGGATGCCAATCAGTACGTATTTGGCGTTTGCTGGTGGGTTGTCATCCTTGTCCATACCATCGGAACCGTTCACTTGGTAGATGGGGAAAGATGAAGACAAAGTGTGTTTTGATGCTTTGGCTGCTAGGAAATCGGCAGCGGCACTAGCCGTTTGGAAACAGAAATCCAAGTTTTCCATCATAGTTGTACACCTCCTATTGTCAATTTCTAGGTAAATTTTAACTCCATTTTGGGCTGTCTCGGTGAAGGCAATATGATGTTTTTGTTTGAAGTAATCATCCTGCAGGTTACTTGTTGGAGTGGAACCCATCCAAGGATAAATCATATCATTGCCTAGTTGATCTTTTTTAACTCGAACAGTAGTTCTCAACTGATGACTGGTGTCTCTCAAGAAAGCTACTAGGTTTTTCTTGAAGCCTTCCATATCCATCAATATCACCATAGAAATGACACCGTCAGCTAACTCTGGTGGTTCTTTTTCGCAGTCCAAGCCGTCCCAATTGCATTCGGCATTGTTGCAGCCATAATCGCAATAACCGTTAGCGTAGTGTTTCTGACAGTAAGCATCATAAATGGGATTGCAAGCCTGAAGTTTCTTTTCACAGTCTCGTCCATCGAAAAGACACTGAGCATTGTTACAATCCTCGTTACAAACGCCGTCCATGAAAACTTCCCAACATTTGGTAGGAGCCGTACAGTTAGCCCAAGGATTTATACCGAGAGAACAGTCGTTGCCGTCAAAGTCGCAAGCGTAGGTGTTACATTCTTCGTCACATCTCATATTCCCACGTTTCATTGGACATTTATTCTTGATGCACTGTTGCCGTTGTTTCTCCAGATCGATTGCATAATAGCTGTTGAAGTCTTGTTGAGGTCTGACTGCTTTTCCAATACCTGCCGGCGCAGTGCGGTCATATATTTCACAATTTTTGCCGATTCGATTGGGTGGACAATAGCATATGTAGTCGCCCAATTTGTTCTGGCAAACGGCATCAAGGTGTAAGCATGGGTTGCTGTCACACTCATTGACCAAATCGACTTCACAATTTGTCCCCGTTGTTCCTGTAGGGCAATCACAAACGTAACCGCCTCCATCTGATATCCGGCAAATTCCACCGTTCTTGCAGGGATCCGAATCGCAGTCGTAGCCACTGAATTCACAATATTTTCCATAGAAGCCTTCTGTACAAGTGCATTTATGCCCGGAATGGGTAGGGATGCATGCTCCTCCATTTCGACAAGGATTTGCGGCACATATATCGATCTTTCGTTCGCAATGACGCCCTATGAAGCCTGGTTTACAATTACACTGGTAATCATTGATCAGCTGGACGCAATCCAGGGTTCCAGGGTTCGAGCAAGGATTCGATAGGCACTCGTTGATATCTCCTTCGCATCTCGGACCTACGAAACCAGCCGGACATTTACATTCGAATCCCCTAACTTTATCCACACAGGTTCCATTGTTGTGACAAGAATCGGGTCGGCAATCATCGATGTTGACTTCACAGATATATCCGAGAGTTCCTGGTGGACAAGAGCACAGGAAGTTATCGACCAAGTCGTGACAGGTGCCTCCATTTTGGCATGGGCTCGGCTGACAATCGTCGATGTTCAATTCGCAATTCTGTCCTTGGAAACCTTTTAAGCAAATGCAGCTGTATGAGCCGATAAGGTCCTTGCAAGTAGCGCCGTTTTGACAAGGTGCCGATTCACATTCATTTATCTCCTTCTGGCAATACGAACCGGCATATCCATCTTTGCAGTGACATAAGTGAGAATTGCCGATGTTTTCGCAGGTGCCGTTGTTACAAAGTTGACTATAGCCAACACCTGAAACAAAACATAAATATTTAGTTGAACGCATTTATCTCCGGTAATCGAAACCATACCTTTCTTAGCGGCAGCATCTTGACAGCTAACCATTTCAACGTCACAAACTTTTCCAGTCCATCCAGGTCCACAGGTGCAATAGTACTGATTTTTCATTTGTCGACATGTTGAATGATTTTCGCAAGGATTGGTGGCGCACCAGTCGACATACTCGGCACAATTTTTTCCTGTATACCCAAATGGACAATGACAGGTGTAGTGAGTCGTGTGGTCTTGGCATGTGGCTCCATTCAAGCAAGGGGAACTATCGCAGAGATTGATCCTGTTTTGACAATTCGAACCAGTGTATCTAGAAAAACAAAAATGTTAGTGGAACCGGTAAAATCATCCATTAAAGTCCAGATGACTCTACAATAATTTCAGTGGGTAATGTGATATACTGATACAAACATACTGAATAACTCTTTTTTACCATAAGGTAAGTTACTCAACTGCTCCTGTTTCAGCTTTTCGTTATGTTCTGAAAGTGCATTTGACAAAAACGTTTCCAATCTGGAAAAAGTCAACTCCATATGTGCCGACTTCATGATTCAACAATCATTTTTTGTCAAGTATGGTTCAAATTATTGTTCATCACCACACATCTCCTACTGAAATTATGGCAGGAATATCTAAAGGCATCTATTACTTACCCAAGTTTACAGGTACAAATATAGGTGTTGATACCATCGACACAAGTGCCTCCATACATACAGCTACTTTCAGTACAGTCTTCGTCGTTGGTTTGGCAGTTGATTCCAGAAAATCCAAGAGGGCAAGTACAAGTGTAAGAGTCGACATATTGGTTGCATGTAGCGCCATTCAGGCAAGGATTGGAGGCACATTCGTCTATATCGATTTCGCATTGTTTACCTTCGAAACCATTGACACAGAGGCACATGAACTGACCGATTTCATCCAGACAAGTACCTCCATTCTGGCAAGGGGCTATTTAAAAGAAATGTGGTGGTAATTAATTGAGTTCAAAGTGTTAACTAAGGTTACTTACATGAAGCACAATCATCAGTGTTGATAGAGCAATCCTTTCCCTCGTACCCTCTCTGACAAATGCACATGTAGGATCCGTTGGTGTTTCTGCAAGTAGCTCCGTTTCGGCACGGTTTCGAAACCACACACTCGTCTACGTCCTGCTCACAGAACCTCCCCGTGTAGCCTACCCCACAGGAGCAGGCAAAGTCCATGAAATTCGAGCTTGGCGTGCATTTGGCGTTGTGCTGACACAGATTGGGGACGCACGGGTCCAATCTCTCTTGACACTCCCTGCCGGTAAACGGCAGTTCACAAACGCACTTGAAATCGTTGACCAAGTCGATGCAGCTGCCCCCATTGTTACAAGGGTTCACAGCGCAGTCGTCTATGTTATACTCGCAGTTGATGCCCGAGTAGCCCGGCAAGCATTCGCAGGTGTAGGAGGCTAGATGGTCGCGACAGTTGCCTCCGTGCTGGCAAGGATTCGAGGCGCATTCGTCGATGTTGATTTCGCACTGTTTGCCACCATAGCCCGGCAAACAGTGGCAGATGAACTGGTTGACGCCGTCCTCGCAGCTGCCGCCGTGTTTGCACGGATTGGATTTGCATTCGTCGACGTCGCTGAGGCAGCGAGCGTCGAAGTAGCCTCTGGGGCATTCGCATCTGAAGCCGTTCACCAGGTCTATGCATACGCCGCCGTTCGCGCAAGGGTTCGAGTTGCATTCGTCCAAGTCGTTCTCGCAGTGCCGGCCCGTGAATCCAGGGATGCACTCGCAGGTGTAACTGCAAGGAAATTATTATCTTATTGCACTGGCAAGACGGAAATTATACGAAAATAATGAGACGAAGGACAAATGCTAGACGAGAACAGATATTTTCTGAGACGTATTTGATAATATAAAAAGACATTGAAAGTACTGTATCGTTTACCATATGATACACCAACAAATCAATTATATAATATAACTGAATCATTCTCATTAGAAGAAATGTTCGAAATTGAAAATATGAAAATAACATTTAATATCATAAATGAAAGATTGAATTCCAATTTTATTTTAATAGGAAACAATGAAATTCATGATTACCAAACTAGAAAACATGGTTTATTTCATCTTGATATCGCTAATTCTTCTATAGGCCAAAAAAGATTCACCCATGCTGGTCTTTTCAAATTTAACAAATTACCAGATAATATAGAAAGTTGCAGGAATGCAATAAAATTCAAATACGAACTTGAAAAATTTATCATTTCTGAACGAAATAGATGAATTTTTTTTCAACTTTTGATTAATATTCAAATTGATTGTTGCTCACCAATATGAAATGATTTTTCAAAATTTGATACTTTCGAATATTATATTATTTACAAGTTTATTATAATTGTATACTTTTAGGTATTATTGTTAACTATACTTCCTTATGCCAGAACTTGATTCTGACTGGAAGTCACATTTTCAGTACATAAAATAAATAAATAAAAATCTTGCTCTTTGATCTAACATCTGTTAGTTACAATAACTCTAATATTTCATTTTGAACTCAAAATAAAAAACATGCAAAAAATAACAAAAAATTATTAGGTCGATGGCCATTTGTATATTCAATTATAGGTATGCTAAGTATTTTATTGTTGTTGTTATTACTGTTACTGTATTGACATTGATGATAGATTCTGCGATTCCTCAGAAGAGCCTCATTTAAAAACTATAATCAATATTGAAACATTAATTAGAAACAAGATAATTTTATGTGATCACAAAGAAAATAATTTCATTGTTTTGAGAACTCTGTAGATTTCAAAACAAACAACAAATAATATACACAGAGAACTTTGATTTTTCAAACATAAAAGATAGGTACTTAATTTCATGAGGAAATTGTAACTGATGTTTATCTTATTGTACACATTGAAGATTAATGGGACCACTATAATTACTCAACAATAACTATGAGTTTACCTTCTTTCATCCACATTATACCAAGATATCAAACATCATTTCAATCAAATGTGACCATGAATATGATTCAATAATTCTTCATTTCATGCATAAGATGAGAAGAAGGGGAAGATGTTTTTTGAATTATGACATATAGAAGATATCATCCATAAGTTATTAAATGTGTGTACATAATATTCACGCTTGGTATGAAAAAGACAATACTAAAAACTGGATCATGCAAATCAATAATACACAGGGTGTGTTAAAAATGTGTACCCACCTTTCTGGAGATGATAGTATATTGAAAAATAGTTAAATGGATGAAAAGAATATTAGGAAAAAAGTTGTCTTCAAAAATTCATAACCCACCCTCTGAAAACACTTTTTATAACAATATCAGAAATGTAGAAGTGTATCAAAACAATGTAATTTATCAACATAGATTTATGAAGGAAATTTCAACCTGATGGTGGCTTTTACAATTTAAAACTTATACGGAAAATTATTGCAATTTCATCAACTTTGGTAGGATATATCTCACTTGATATACATTTTGGGATATTATTTTAATCATCAAACTATACTGTCTGGGCAAATCATCTGATTTGTCCCTCTACAAATATATTGAAATAATAGGAATACTTTTATTTTATAGAAACGAGGAGAGAAAATCCCAAAGAATCAAGTAAAATCATCGAACTATACTTATTTTTCAATGAACAATCACCCCCAGAAAGCTCGTTACACATTTTTGACTCACCTTGTATATAAAATACGAATCTTGAATTCATGCAATTTTTGCAAAATACATCTGAAAATCACTTACGGCTCATAATATGGGTAACCACTGATTGCATGAAAAATATTGAGACCAATTATATTCAACAATAAAAACAGAAGAGCTATTTTTTTTCATTAGATAAATTTCTTTTCGAAACGAAATTATTTTGAGAAATAAATCGTGATATCGAAAGTCAAGCCATTTTCTCGAATGTCAATTTCAAGCAAATTCACTGAAGAAAAATATTAAGTGAAAAAGTAATTCACCTGTAAAAAAAATCTGGAGAGGTATTTTCAATAAATGAATTGAAACAGAATATGTGAAAATACAAAGTGATGATTATATCAATTTTCCAATAACTTTCAAAGTGAACAAATGTTATATGAGTTTATCAGTGAGTTACTATAGGAGTTAATGGCATATGATGATTTAATATTGCTCCCGCTTAGCAGCACTAGTGTGGTTGAGGGAGTCATCTGCCATATACGTGACATGAAAATACATGATGTGTATATGAATGTGAACTTTCTCCAGGAATCGAAAAGCACTATACAACGTTGAGGCCGGTTGAGGCATTTGAACAACGGATTTCGTTACTGTGAATCACCTGATATGACCTCCAACCATACCAGTGCCATTTGTCAAACTATCGAAGTACCCAACCAATACATTCCATGACACAACACATACCTGTTGATACCATCCACACATCTAGCGCTATTCCTGCACGGGTTGCTATAACACTCGTTGACGTTGATCTCGCAGTTGGGCCCCGAAGTCCCCGGCTTGCACAGACACTGGTACCCGTTGACCAAGTCCTGGCAAATCCCGCCATACTTGCACGGATTCGACTCGCACTCGTTGATCTGGCGCTGGCACAACTCGCCAGCATACCCCGGATGACAGGTGCAGGTGAACGAGTTCTCTCCGTCGATGCATTCGCCGTGCAGACAGGGATTCGACAGGCAGTCGTTGATGTTGGTCTCGCAGGAGAGGCCGGTGAATCCCGGCGGGCATTCGCAGGAGTAGGCTGCGATGCCGTCGTGGCACACGCCCGCGTTCCTGCAGGGACTGGACGTGCAGTCGTCGATGTTGATCTGGCATCGGGAGCCGGTGAAGCCGGTGGCGCAGGTGCACTTGAAGGAGTTGATGAGGTCGTGGCAGATTCCGCCGTTCAGGCAGGGGGTCTCTTTGCATTCGTCGATGTCGATTTCGCACTGCGTACCAGTAAAACCTGGAAAGAAAACATTCAATATCATTGGATTCAATCAACACCATGTTGGTATGGTCCAAGAGCCCAGGGCCCCCAGACATAACACATTTTTTATAGAACAAAATGTGGGGCTTTGAGTAGCGTTCATGTTTTTTTTATGTTCTGGTTCCCACGAAAAGGGATATCCTGTAATGTTCAGAGGACATCGTGAGAACCAAGGGAAATACGGTAGGAATTGGTTTTCTTCTTAAGTTGCTGGAGGTTATATGCCTCGGAGAACATTTCCCTTAGAAATGTGTTCCAGGGCCTCGCTGTTCGTTGGATGAACGAATCTTCGGAAAGAGATGTTCTGCAGGTCTCCAAAGTGACCAAGAAGGGGTGCGAAGCCTCAACTCAACGGGTTAATCTCGCGGGGACTGCCAAGGTAGGAACAGTTGTTGATATTTCAGAAGAGCATCGTCCATGAAAATATCTATGAAATGGAGCCAGATCACCAACTTTTCTACGGTGTTCCAGAGAAGTGAGTGAGTTTGTGAGCGAGGCATCACGACGAATTGCCATTTTTTGGACAGAATCTAACAGTTTCAGGGCATGTTTGGGTGCTGCACAACAAATATGGGAATAGTATTCCAGAACAGGTCGGATCTGTGCCTTACATAAGCAGCTGACTGGAAGTGAAATAGCTCCTGGCCCGAAACAGAAAACCAAGTTTTTGGGATGCACTTTCAGCAATTGATCTCACGTGATTTTCCTAAGAAAGGTTATTGCTGATAGTTATACCAAGCATCGAAATGGATGCCCTCAAAGGTATGGTTACTCCTGACAAGCTTATGTTGGGCACAGTGAGATCGGCTTTTCTAGAGAAAAGGCATGCTTGTGTTTTGTTTGCATTGGAATCTACCAAGTTATTGGATCCCCATTCGAGAATTGTGCCAAGTCCATATTTATGTTGTCAACATTTCTTCCTCGTTCGTTTCTGATTTGCCTGGCTGGTATTGGAGCCCTGGAAGAGAAGGCAGTATGGAGGGAACTATCATCCGCGAAGCTGTGTACTGGACATGAAGTTGCTTCCAACAAATCGTTGATATGGAGTAGAAATAGTATTGGTGATAGAATTGATCCTTGCGGAACACCAGCATTTATGATAAGAGAGTCAGATGAAACTCCGTCGACCACTTCATAAAGGGACCTCTGTTTGAGAGGAAAATAGCTAGCAGAGAACATAGCTGGGGAGGCAAGCCATAAGATGGAAGTTTGGCGAGGAGTCCGTGGTGCCAGACAAATGTACAGTGAATGATAGCATACGAACTAAGTTGGTTGGTTAGACCGCCAATTCACAGATGCCAGGGTGGAGAAGTAGAAAAGAATACCAAATTCTAATGATCGATTTTTATATATCTTCCGTAAGATATTATGAAAAAATTATATTGAACACTGCCATTGCCGGCCATAACCTTCGCCAGACGCTTTGAAGCACAAAAAAATTGTTCAACTTTGTGTCTGGGGCCCTGTGCTCTTATTCTAGTAGGTAGTATGATTACTGAGCTTATAGAGATTGGTTGTCTGCTGGTATTACTGTTCAAAAAGGAGAATTAGGAGAACGAAGAGTAAATGTGTGCAACAGGTTTCGGCATAAAAGACAATAAAAAAGATGCCCTCAAGGTTCTGTGGATTCTGAAAGTTAAAATATACCTACCTAACATTACTACTGCTATAGGAATGTAGCAAAGTACTAAACTAACTGACAACTCACAACATAATACTGTCGTTATTGCTACAGGACATTCAATGGGCGTGTACACCTTGGTAGAACTTTTAACTCAAACCATGTTTATAATGATCCTTTTATACATAAATAATGATTGACGACATAATTCGATCAAAAAATTAACTGGAATGTTTTATTTTTGGACATAGATAATAGTATCTTCTGAAAACGGACCCTCTTATGACGTAGAAACCTCATCTCGCCATAGTTAAAAGAAAATACCAAACGCCCGATGGAGACGGAGGCAACTGATATATTAATTCTTTCAACTGTGATCTCGCGCTAATTCACTCAGTCAGAAATCATGTATCATTGATCTGTCTGGAATTGTTCTTGTTTCAGTATTAGGGTTTTGACGTCACATCATCGCCTCGTTTTCAGAGGTCCGAAAAATCGGGGATTTCAATAATTTTTTATAAAACGTAGGGAGCTCACAGCAAGAAACGGTTTGCGGTGGTGAGCTAGTTTGGGTGAGTTCTATCGAATTAGGAAATAATTTTTTTTTGTGATATAAGCTCATTGTCTAGCAAAAGCGTAAAAATAATGAATGCAGGTTTTTCAACCAGTCGATAGAGCAGATAATACTAATCAATGGTATTTTGAAGTCCAGAAGTGTATTACAGCCAATAATCAAAATTGCGTAAGTTTTCTTAGCATTCATTCTTGTTGGGGGTGCTTTACTGAATTATTATTTGAGAAGAAAAACCAATATTACCAGATGAAGATAACATTTTCAATATTAACCTACAAGTCTGTAAATATATCTCAAGAAAACGGTAAGTACACCTGTTTGAGATCGTGAATAATCCACATATTTAATGATATGACCTGGCCAATTAAGTTGCTGTGGTACGGACAAAAAGCAGCCGAACATACAGGTTCATCGCAAAATCTTCGAGGTCTTATTTAAACAATGGAGTACCTAATGAACAAAGTGAGTATCTTCTGTCAGAAGTATTTGAACGTTCAACGTTTAATTTTTTATTCAGATACATATATACACTCTTGAAACCAATATGTACTTGAATAATATAAACGTCTATATGTTGAATCATTCTTTCAGGATTTTGAAGTGCCTGATAATATATGCATTTATGCAAGACCAGTAAATTCATGAAGAGTGGATTTTCTTGGTTCTTGTGCCGTCACAAAGATAAAATGCACAATGTTCAAGATTTTTTGATATAGAGGGTGTCCAGAAAGTTCATGTCGTAAATGATTCAAATGGCCACCAGTGATGATAAAACTCTTGATGTGTGAATTTTGATTTATAATTCCAATTTCCTGCTCTTACCGATGTTGAATTGCATTATTGATTTAGTCTTTTGGCAGTTTAGTCGATTTAAAGAACAACAGTTTTTAGTTAAACTTATCTCCACATGTCTTCTTAGGTATTTTATATGTCTGAAGATGGCCGTATAGCTTGAACTTGATTTGTTAATAATGTTTATGGTCGACCGACTATGTGTTACACTGTTATTTCCTTTAAAAATGTTGGGACCCCTTTGAGAAGGATGGATGGTTTCCATGACTGAACTAGTCAGATTTTTCTCTCCTTTGGAAATTGTTGTACAAGATTGAAAAAATCAAAGTTGGTACGAATAAATGGCAAATAAATGTGGTACATAATCTGAAAGAATCCTAAAATAATAATTTTGCTTCAAATTTTCAGGTTCGTTTTATTCATGATTTCACACAGGTGTGAAATTTTGTCATGAAGTGGTAGAATATAATTCTGGATGCTTATGACTTTTTTTTCGTGTTCGTCGACTGTTCATATTCATAAACCGGTACAGTAAAAGGGCACATTGTCGGTTGCAATCAAGAGGTCGGTGAACAAAATAATTCAGAAAAGTTCAAACTCGCTGCGACCTGCTCCGGTAAACGGTCGACCCGAAATTAAAAAAAAAGAAAAACTCATTTTCAACCTTCCATAACGCTATCTGGCACGCACGCAACCTACACATTATTAAGCAAGCCCAATTCCCTCTCTGATTCATCTCAGTATAAGGCCACATATTAAAGTTGTAATTTTGTAATCAGATTCGGCGGGTGTAGTCTCATTCGCTATCGCTGATACTGAAAGGCGAAATCGTAATTAGACCCCGACAAAGAATGCATACTTTTCCTAGATTTTTTTAGAAAATTATATGGTGCGGATTATTTTTCAACAGACGCGAATTTGAAAGAATGCCTCATTCCTGCATAAATCAATGTTACATATTTACATAATAGCCTACTAAGAATCCTTCTTCTTTTTCGTGTTCTTCAGATTTATCAATGTTTAAGGGAATGCCTAGGAAAAAGCAGGAGGACATCACATATTTCGATCATTATCAAGGTTATTATGATATAAGCCATTATTAAATTGAAATTTGATATTTGGTGCAAACTTCCTTATTTCAGTTGATAATATATGGAGTCAGAAAAATTAAAAAAGCGGATGAAGATCATTCCGTGATTGAAATTGCATCAGTTTGTAGATGTTAATAATACCAACTATTTCTAAATCATAAACAAATCTGCTCATGTCTTATTTGTGTTTCATACTGATTGGGATTCAATATCTGAATTTTTGGTATTTTGGTTAAATCGTTAGCTTATCAAAGAGAATTCATAATTTTACAGTGACTGATCATTATAGAATATAAGGTATCCGAATCAGAACATTGCCTCTATCAAATAAAATTAAATTAAATGTAATAATAACAAGGAAGAATTGTTTACTGATAGTATGTGTTAGATAATCTAGTTATCTTTTAAAATAAAATATAATGTTAAGTAACTTACTGTACATAACAACGTCAGGCTAGATGACAAGAGATAGATTGTCAATGAATTTTGAATAAAGATAATTTGAATCTATTTAAATATATTATCGTATATCACTTATTAACATGGCGCAGTCGTAAAACCTAATCGTTCAAAGCAGGTATATACAGAAATAAATAAATGATGGGAGAGCGAGGTATCAGTCCTATGAGATTAGATGGAAATATAGCAAATAACTGGAAGATATGGCGATCCCGCTTTGAGAATTATTTGAAAGCAACAGAAGTGAATAAGAAGGAAGAAAGTACCCAGTGTGCCCAGCTGTTACATTACATTGGAAAAGAATGCTTCAAAATTTACCGAACCTTTGAAATTCCCGCCGCTGATAGAGATAAGTTAGCAGTACTCTTGAAAAATTTTGAACAGCACTTCTTACCCAAAGAAAATCTTTCATATGAACGATACATGTTTTTCACCATGA